GGGGGGGGGGGGGGGGGGGAGAATGCCAACTGAGGCAGGGGAATAAAAATACAGGGGAGGGAGAGGGGCGCCAGCGGGTCCCCCGGCGATGGAGGGCGTGCTTCTTCTCTATAAAAAAAAAAGGGAGGGGCGTGCCAAAGCAGAGCACAGTGGAAAGGGTGGAGCGCGAAGTGAGGAGGCGAGGGGCCGGAGGTGGGAGGACAGCACAGCGGCATTTCTGTGCATGTCGTCAGAAGGGGGGAGGGGGGGAGGGGCAGGGGGAGACTATATGTGGCCATGCAGGCGTAGGTGCACACACGCGACCATCCGCACTGGCTGCTGGCTACATCAGACGAATGGGCTGCGGGCCGACGCCATAATCATGGCAGTAGCCCTCCAAGCAGAGGAGCTGATTCAAGAAGCCGGCATTGGGGAAGGCGCAGTATCGCAAAGAGTGAACCAGATCGAATGCCTCAAAGGCGGACAAGCTGCGCTTATACATGAAGAAGGCCGTGAGGATGGACACGGAGCGGGATATGCCTGCGACACAGTGGATGAGCACACGTGCTGAGGGGTCCCGCAGAGCGTCCTCTACATGTGTGTAGACATGCATGCATGGATGGATGGATGTGTGTTGTATGAGTATTGTGTGAGTATTGCACGTGTGTGAGTATTGTACGTGTGTGTGTAGCGACACACAGAGAGCATCGAAGGGGCGATGATGGGCAGGCCGACCAATGCCCAACCTCACCCCAGCGGGAAAAATGCCGATGGCCCGGGCAGGCACAGCGTGCCGCTGGGACGGACGCATGCTGTGTACGCACCGATAAAGGTGATGACCGGGTAGATGTGGGGCTTGAGGTCTTCCTTGGGACGGTCGTCCAGTGAAACCCGCAGGTAAATGGGGCAGGCGGCATCCGGCGAGTAGGGGATTTGTTCGAAAGGCTGGGGGCAGTCTCGAGACACGTTGACGATGTGGGTAATTCCATGGCTCTTCAGCAAGGCCGGGCATTGGGAGAAGATGGCGTTGCTCAGGATAATTTGGCTGTCAATCACCGAGAAGGAAGGGTCGGCCAGGGGATCGTCAGCCTCGGGCTGCGAGCCGCCGGAGCAGACCCAACATTCATGCGATGGGTGTGACAGGTCAAGGACATCTTTGGCGTGTGTCGCCGAAGCGCAACGGGTCAGCACGGGGTGGAAAGGAGACCCGCGGGGGAGAGAGCGAGCGAGAGAGAGAGAGAGCGAGCGAGAGGCGGAGGGGGAGTAAGGCGCACTAGTCATTGCCTAAGCGGGAGCGAGGAAGGGGGGAGGAGGGGCGAGGAGGGGCGAGGGAAGTCGCGAAGGAATGGAGCACTATAAGAAGGAACCTCTAGACCAAGGCTTGCACAGACAGAGCCGAGGGACGGTCCCTCTTGTATGGGGGGGGGGAAACAATCCGGCCTCCATCGGAGATGTACATGCCCTCACCCCTCCTCCACCAGGATGGCAGTGATCGGCCGCCTGCGAGGCGAATGATCGGCGCCCGCGCGGAGACGGGCACAAAATCAAGCCTCCCACGCCCTGCTAGCTCCTGTGTGGCCCAGGCGGGCCGCGAGGGTGCGGCTGGTATGCACCGACGGGGTGAGCAAGTGGGAACAAGTGCTGATTAATCCGCCCCCGGAGGCCTGGCCTGTATTCAAGCGGGAAGAGTGCTTCCTGGGACCGAGCTTTGGCGCCCGTGTTTCCCTGGGCTTACTCCTCCAACGCCCCCCCCCCCCCCTCCCTGCCCGCCTGCCGAAAGGGTGCGTCCTGGCCCGGTGAGCCCGGAGTCCGATGACAACCCATGCTGCTTTGGCGGAGACCCCACGCGCCTCGGATACTGTCACTTCCCTGCTCGGCCAGAAATGCAGTTCGGGGGGGGGGGAGCCGGGGAACAAGGCCCCGGCGCCCGCGCGAGCGGAGACCCTTTCCGCGAACGTCCCTAGCACCTGCCAATGTACAGAGGCGCGTCGCCCGCCCCTCCGGCCCCCCCCCCCCCCCCGCCCCGCAGGCTCCGGCTCGGCGGGCCGGTGCGGCAAACAGATTAAGAACGCGCCCAGGCCAGCCGTCCCCGGCCCTTGAAAGGGGAGCATCAGCCCATCCTGGCGCGCTGAGTGAGCCCAGCCCCCCGGCCCTTCCATGTGTCCCTCCCGCGTGCCACTTGCCCTCCCCTCGTCGCAGTCTCCCCCCCGGGGGGGGGGGGGGGGAGGGGGGGTGCCCGCGGGGTGTCAGAGTGGAGGGCCAAATGGCTGAGACTCGCGCCAGACTGCGCACTGGCTGCGCCTCTACGGCTCCGCCGCCGGTTCTGTCGCCCCCCCCCCCCCCCCCCCGGGACGCGCGCAAGCGCGCGAGTATGAAAGAGGACCATGCTTGGGCCCAGTCGGTGGGGCCGGTATTCGCTTGTCACCCGCCTAGTGAACGGGCAGATGGCCGAATCTGAGCGCGGGAGGGGACACTGCGTCTGTGCCAAGCACCTCTCCCGCCTTCGCCCTGGCCGTCCGCCCCCCCCCTCCCCCCTCCCCCCCGGGCGCCTCGCCCCACGGGGGCGCGACCTCCGCCGGCGTGCATGTGCCTGGGTCACTTCGCGTCCGAGGCATACCAACTGCGTACACATTCATGACACAGGCACCGGATCCGGTTAGGGAAGTATGCACGCCCGGTCGCCAGCGCCCCCCCTCTCCCTCCCCTGTACCGGCCTTGCTTCAC